CCTGCTGGAGAGGTTCACAGGCTGGGCGGGGAGGGAAAGGAATTCAGAGAGAAGTAATCCCTGCAGATGAGAAAGCTCACGTTGTATCAGTGCTTACTATGAACCAAGCATTGTTGTGACACTCCAGAAGACACTGGGACACATTCATCCTGGGGAAGGCATCGTCAAGAAGGCTTCCCGGAGGAGGAGTCATTGGGAGCAGGGTCTTGAGGGATGTACAGGAGTTCACTTGTGGAAAGTAAAGAAAATATTCTTTCCTCCTCCTGGCACAGAACTGTAGAGAAAGGGCTCCTTTGGTGCCACTCTGAGTCACCAGGACTCAGAAGCCAGCATGCCGTGCCTCAGCCTCCTTCTCAACTGCAGTAGGTTCCAGCCACGAACAAGCTCCCTTCCCTAACCCACAGGGTCCTCAGAAGAGAGAGAAGCCTTCAAGAGGGCCAACCACATGAACAAGCTGGCTGATAAAGAGGAGACGGGGGTGGCCATGCGGATCCGTGTGGGCGAGAGCATGAAAATGGGCAGCGACTTTGACGTCTTTGCCCATATTACCAACAACACGGCTGAGGACCACACCTGCCGCCTCCTGCTCCGTGCCTGCACTGTCAGCTACAACGGGATCCTGGGGCCCCAGTGCGGCACCAAGGAACTGCTCGATCTCCCCATGGAGCCCTTCTCTGGTAAGGCCCTGGGTTCCTGGATCAGTTACGGGTCTCCGATTGACATGCTGGGTAGTGTCCTGAGCACTGTGTGTGTGCAATTTACCTCACGGACACTTGCATAGCACATACTCCAGGTCAGGTCCTATTCTAAGCGTGCTATAAATATCGACCCATTTACTTCTTGTAACAAAGGTAGAAGGGGGAGTCTTTTATTGCCCCCATTTGCCAGATGAGAAGACTAAGCACAGAGAGGTGAAGTAACTTTCCCGAGACCACACATTTAGGAAGAGACGAGGCTGAAGCTTGAACCTGTATTCTTAGCAACCGTACTGCTTTGTTTCATCTCGTCTTCACATGACCCTAGCTGCCTTCCTAGACTCTCTACTGCCCTCTCACAGCTAATTCCATCCCTCTGTCTCCAGTAACTGTCACACTCACGGGATCTTCTCCCTGCTGCCCTAGTGAGACCCTCTGTTCCTCTGGAGATTCTCGGCCTCCGAGAGAAGAGGCTCTAGACCAGCGCTGCCCATAGAACGTTCTGCGATGATGGAAATGTATATCTGGGCTGTCCAGAGTGGTGTGACTAGTTCCATGTGGCTTCTGAGCCCTTGAAATGTGGCTGGTGCTACTGCCAAACTAAAGTTTTAATTTCACTTAAAGAGGTGCATGCAGCTGGAAGCTGCCATATTGGACGGCGTGGCTCTCCTAGTGATAGGAAAACTATTGAGTTCTCTGTGGGGAGAAGGATTTTCCTCCCAGCCCTGCTCCTCCCCTCATAAATGTCCCCAGCGCCTGGCCTGGCCCCACTGTGAGGCAGCTCATCTTCTCTTCACTCCTTGGCTCCGGGTCTCCCCTGTTTTGAGGTCAAATAATGTCAGTAGATGACCCAGCCCTCAGCCCTAGACAGAGCCTCTGTCAGTCCAGCTTCACAATCGGACACCTGCACAGTCATCCCCTTTGTTGGCAAACAATGTTAACATGCCTGATCATCTTCCTAAAAGTAAGCCTGAGACCCTGAGGGGGGTTGTGGCTGCCACCGAGGTCACTTAGGGAGGCAGCACAGCGTCTGGTCTCCCACCCACCCCCAGCGGCCCAATCTAGTCTTCTGCATCGGAAGCCTGCAGGCACAAGGACAGCAGAGTGGTCATGTTGCTGGGAGACTGAGACACTGACTATCCTCTGAGGGTCTTGCTCGCTGTGTCACTTGGACAGACGGCTGTCTCCCTAAACCGCAGTGTCTCCATTAGGCACATGGGAGTCATGACCTGACAGTGTGGGACCGTCCGGTGGGGAAGAGGCTGAGCATATAGTAGGCACTTAATATCTGGGATCTAGGATGCTAATACACAGAGCTGGTGGCGAGCCTCAGGGCAGGGCTGTGCTTACAAAAGCTGTTGGCCCTCCCTCTACACTTGGGGATCAACTGGGAATGTTTCCTCTCCTTCGTTAGCTCTGACTTGGCCCTTGGCTCCATGAGCTGGCATGTGGGTCACAGCCTCCCAGTTCCTGTCTGGGAGGCCTGTCTGTGTTCTGGGCAGTCTGCAGTATCGACAATGCCACCTTCTGGTTTTTGTCTTTGGCCCACTGTGGGCAACTCTAGAGCCACACACCCGGAGCAGACCCTCTGTTAGGGTCCCTGAGCAGGGGCTAAGTCCTTAAACGCAGAGCCACTTGGCACCAGGGCTGAGGCCCCAACATTTACGCTGTTGAAAGATGTGTTTTGAGGTCAGCCAGACTGGCTTTGCACGTGGCCTCTACCACCTACTACAGGTACAACCTTGGGCAGGTGAACGTGCTCCTTGAGCCTCAAGTCATACTCACCCATTAAATGGGGCTACAGCACACCCACCTACTGGGCCCCTGTGAGGACTGAAGGAGAAGACATCTGCTCAGGACATGTCTGGAAAGTGTAAAGTGGTGCCTGGACGTGGTGGGGCTCTTCAGGCCTCGCCGAGCAGAAGGGCAGAGAGGCATGGGGAGGCCGAGAAGCCCCGTGGGCTTTTCCTGAACACCTACTGTGTGAGGTCGCTGTCTCAGTGCCGGGCTCAATGGTGCCTGAGTCCCTGCCAACCTCGATGGCATGGAAGGACCCAGCTCGTGCCTCTGCATACAGACCCCAAGTGTCAGGGGCAGGGGACCGTTCTTGCAGGTATGCGGAGTGGTCAGGACACCCAAGTTTTAGTTCTTGTAATTCTGTGACAGGCTGCGGGCTCCTGGTTATTTCTTGTCTCTGTTCCAGGCCTCAGATTCCCCATCACACATCTTTGAATAGCCCTTCCAACCTCTTCGTGTAAATGTGTGTGAATCAGTTCCTCCTTATACTCAGAACTGCTTCAAAGGGAAGAAGTGTCCTCCCTCGAATGTACAGCATGAAGTGAACTTCAACCGGGCCAGTGGTGCCAGAATAAGTACTTCCAGGGCCTTTGTTGGGTCACCTTTTGCCCCCAGATATCATCAGTCCCCTGGAGCATTGTTCTGCCCAGACTTCAGCCAAGCCCCTCAGTGTTTCTCCTCATCCTGGGGATGTGTTCACAGCAGAGAGGTCCTTCCTGCTGTGTCACTGACCGACACAGCCTACAGGGAGAGAGACGAGGAGGGAAGAGGTCCTGTGTGTCATCCTCAGGCTTCAAGGCAGAGCTAGTCCAGGGTGCCCTATTGGGACCTCCATGGCAAGCTTAACTTGAGACAGGAGACTCTGCACTTTGTCTAAGTTGCTTGTTATTCTTTGATAAGATCTGGGGGATTTCCATGTGCTAATAGGCAGGAAGCTGAGCCTAGGGCTGCTGAACAAAATCCAGTTGCCCCTACCCCTGCTTCTCTCTCTGTGCCCTCCTGCCCCCACTCTTTCTCTCTTTCTCCTCCCACACCCATCCAAGCAGGTCACTGGGAGTACAGCCAACTTGGCCTTGGTGATCAAGCCTACAGGCACCTTCCAGAGCAGGGCAAACCATCTGAGGAATGACTGAAACTGACTGCACACACGGTTCCTTCCCTCAGCCAGCATTTGGCCCAAGGCCAGGGCTGTGGTCCCTGGCGGACAGAAAGCAGTTCTTGAAGGTCCAGCCCCACCCTGGTTCAGCCTCCTGAAAATGTCAGCAGCTGGGGCCATGTCCTCCAAGCTCCTGGAGGACGAAGTTTTCTTTCTTTCCTGTGGAGCTGGTCAGAGTTTCCACTCTGCTCCACCAGGCTCTGACCCAGGAATTTTCACTCCTTTCTGTTCCTTTTGGCAGAGGGTTTGGTTTTCTTACCCTCGCATCATCTGGTTGTAAAGCCACCCTGGGAATGAATGGCCAGAGGGCTGGGAATGCTAGTGCAGCATCTTCCGAAGGGTGGGACATGGACCATCGGTGTGCACACCAGGGCCTAGATCTCGACTCACACGGAGAGAAAGTGACCGTCACTCAGGTCTTCGTGGTCCTTCAGATGACCTCATGGGGAATGTCTCAGTGGGTGCTAACTGGCCTGAGCATCCCTAACCCTTGCTAATCCCCTTCTTTAACAGTAAACTCGGGTCTCAAACTCAGAGCCCTCTCACAGGAATGGAGTAAGCATGACTGTGCTTATATTTATTTTTACCAGTTACCTTCTATTTATGGTAAATGAGACTGGTTTGCTGCAAATGACCAAAATTTCCCCTAAGCAACAAAGTTTAAGAAATATAAAGTGAGCGAACTGAAAGGAAGACGATGAGCAAACAACGAGGTATAGTCAGATGTGTGAACCATCATGTGAATGCCGGGAGTTTGGAAATAGTCTAGCGGGAGGGGGGCGGGGACAGATGGCAATAAAAAAGGCAACAGCATCTCCTGTCAGGGCACTGGCTGCTGAGAGGTTGGCTGGGCTCCAGGGATCCCAAAGATGTCTCTCCAGAGCTCCCGTTTGAGAGGGGTGGCCCAAGGAACAAGGGGATTTGCCCCCAGTTCTCTGTGGCCGAGTGGACGAGCAGGGCCTGGCGCAAGCCTGCAGATGCCCACGGCTGTGCTCTTTTCACTGTTCCATCCTGCCTCCCACCGGCAGATCCTTGATTCCTTTGGGCCTCGGTGATCTTGTCAGAAAAACGGAGCTAAAAATCACACTTCATTTCTCTGCCGTGGGAGCAGATGGCCCTGCTGCCTTCCTTCTCACTCCTCCATCACCATGTGGCTTTTGCTCTAAAACAACCTCTGGTCTTAGCTGTGCCCAGTGGGTGTTGGTTGTTTTGGGAGAACAAAGAGGGAACAGGAGAAACGGAAATGAGGTCATCTTCCCAGGCTCACACAGCCAGTCGGTGGCCGAGCAGGGCAAAGTCTCCCGATCTAGCACTTACTGGCAGAATGTTTCCTCATCTGTAAAATGGGTACAATCTCAACCTCATGGGGGGCGGGAAACTGAGGTCCTGAGAGGTGGAGTGATTTTCCTAGGATCACTTATCAAAGGGCCAAGGCAGAATTAGAACCCAGGCCTGCTGGAGCTCCAGCACTTCCCTTTCCAGCTATTCTGCCTCCCCTCCCAGGTCCTCCCTGGGAATGCTGGAGCCAAGGCGGCTGGGGGAAAGGCCTGGGATCTGCCCAGCCATTCACCAGCTGTGACCTCGAGCATGTTCCCTTCTCTCTCTGCGGGGCCTGGAGATGCTGGAGGAGAGATGGGGGCCGTGATTCAACCGCCATGTGTGCTCTCTCCCCTCCCCCTGCAGAGAAGAGCATCCCCTTCCGAATCCTCTATGAAAAGTACTGTGACTGCCTGACCGAGTCAAACCTTATCAAGGTGCGGGGCCTCCTCGTTGAGCCAGCTGCAAATAGCTACCTGCTGGCCGAGAGGGACATCTATCTGGAGAATCCAGAAATCAAGATCCGGGTAAGGGGCTAACTGGGCAGCAGTAGGGGCAGGGCGGGGTCCCAGGACAAGCCCAGAGGTGGGAGGGGGACAGGCCTCAGCACACACCTGCATCCCTGCCCCCTCAAGATCTTTGACACCCCCGGGATCCTCAAATTCTGGCTTCATCAAAGAAAAGCATCGTGAAGCAGAAAGAACTGGGGGACCCATGGCCTCTAGGAATGAAGCCTAGAATCTCAGAGTGATAGATAAGGGTCATGGAATTTAGGGATTTCAGAATCATGGGCTCTTAAAAGCTAAACTCTTAAGGCTCGATCCCCTCAGCTTGGGGCCCCTTGTAGGACAGGGAGGGCAGAAGAGTTAAGGGCACAGACTCTGGAGTCTACGGCCTGGGTTTGTGCCTGGGTGGCCCTGGACATGTTACTTTGTCCCTTCCGTCCCTCAGTTAATTCATCCGTAAGATGGGTATTGTGCAGATTAAATGTGTCCCCACAGGAAGCACATAGAACCATGTCCAACGCATTATAAGGGCTCAATAAAAGCTGTTATTACATCATCGTCATCATCATAGTGATTCACTTCGCAGAGCCACAGCCCCCGAATCCCAAATGGAGCAGTTACACATAAAAGACTGGAGGGGAAGGGAGTGAGCACCCTGTTAGACACTCTGCTAGGAGTTTGTACATCTTAGCTCAGTAATCCCCATGAGAACCTCGTGGTCTGGCATTTCTCTCCCATGAAGAAGAGGGTAGTGACTTTCCCGGAGTCACACAGTGAGAAAGGGGCAGAGATCAGCCAGGCGCAAAGCCTGTGATCTTTCCACTCCAGACCCTAGAACAAGGGAGGCACTTTACACCCCCTATCGGTTGTGTGAACCTCGCTGCAGCTCCATGAAGGAGGCCTGGGCAGGCGTTATCACCCATGTTTTCCAGATGAGAAAACCAAGGCACAGAGGCGGGGAGTGAGAGCGGCAGAGTGAGCATCACTTTGTTCAGCAAACATTGGGCCAAATTGCAGCAAATACAAAGATGGCCCAGCGAGCACCTTGCCTGCCGAGAGGGCCTCTGGGCCCCCTCCCTCAGTGTTGCCCCTGACATCTGCCTCTTGCCCCCTCCCAGATCCTGGGAGAGCCCAAGCAGAACCGCAAGCTGGTGGCTGAGGTGTCCCTGCGGAACCCGCTCACCGTGCCCCTAGAAGGATGCATCTTTACTGTGGAGGGGGCCGGCCTGACTGAGGAGCAGAAGACCGTGGAGATGTAAGTGGTGGTCACTCCAGCCTGGGTACTTGGGAGCAGAGGGCAGATGCTGATGGGGCGGGACCGCCCTCAGGCACCAAACCCCTCCTCTCATTGCCCACACACCCACCCACACACTTGCCTAATATAACCCCGTGTCCCCGCCATGTTAGGTGCATTCCATGCCCACGTCTTTATAAACCTGAACAGTGACACATTCGATCACTAAGCGCATGTCCCCGACACACGGGTCCTCAAGTAAACACACGCACCTGCACCCTGATTGTCTGCACGTGCATGTGGACACATGCACGCACGTGTGGGTGTAGCCTCAGAGAAACATATCTGTGTACATACACACCAAGGAGCCACCCCACTTCTCATCGTATACTTTTTTTAGATGCAGTAAAGAACACGAATCATGCGTGTGCTTCTCAATGCATTTTCACCCGCAGTCACCTGAGCACACCCACCCTTAGCCCCAAGCACACCATCCGTTTCTGTGTGGGCACGTGCATACACACAGGCCCTCTACACATAGGGAGCAAACGCCCAGGACCTCTGAGGGCGGCACGTGGGCCCGTTTTATTCTTGCTGGCATTGAGCTGTACATCCATGCGAAGTTCTCAGTCGTCATGTATCACCCTGGCCTGGCCCTTCGCCTCACCCTTTTCCTCTCTCTCCACAGCCCAGACCCCGTGGAGGTGGGACAGGAAGCCAAGGCGAGGGTGGACCTGCTGCCTCTCCTTGTGGGCCGCCATAAGCTGGTGGTGGACTTCGAGAGCGACAAGCTAAAGGCCGTGAAGGGTTACCGGAACGTCATCATCGGCCCTCCCTAAAGGACTCCCATGTTCAGCCCCACCTTAGCCAGCCGAGAGCCCCTAGTCTGATTCCCAAATTATCCCAAATCGATGAGCAAAATTTGCCCCTCTTTGGGTCCCAGACCCCAGGGCAGAGGTGGGCTGCCTGGGGAGGGAGATGGCTATTTAGAATAGAATGTACTTCTGGCCCATCTTGTCTCTTGAGCCTGATTCCCCACCCCCCTTACCTATGAGGAATGTCTTGTGCCTCTGCAGTGGGAGCCTTCACCTTGGCTGACTGGATCTGAGAGGGTAGGGGAGAGACCCACGCCTCCCCTTCCAGCCCAGATGACATTTGGAAAGACACTGACCACCCTGATCTATCCTGATATTGCCTTATCTACTCCATAGCCCTTTTTCGCTTGGAGCAAGCAAAAAAGAGACAATGAGCCCATTGGCTAGATCAAGGAACTCGACACCCTACCATGTTTTGTACCCATTCCCCAGACTGTGCCCAAGGCCCTTGGGATAAGCCAGAGCAGGTAGGGTTGGGAAGGGTCCCAGGTATAGACCAGGCTTAAGCTCCTCACATCCTGGAAGCTCCGGCCCACAATCTCCCACCCTCCTCCCTATTGCGAGGGACCTACTTTTTGCCAGGTGCTTTCTGTACTTGCTGGGGCTCATGAGGCCACCAACCCATTTAATCACCACAGGAAACTACAGAATGGGAGCTGCTTTTTCAATGAGGAATCTTAGTCTCAGAGAAGGGAGGTGGCTTGCTCCATATAGGTGGGATATTGGCTATTTGCAAGGTCGGGTAATGTTAAGGCATGGGAACAGAGGCCTTCTGACTCGGAGTCCAGCACCCTGTCCATGACACCAGCCCTGATCTGAGAATGTCAGAGAGGCCATCTGGGACCCAATTTTAAAGGATTCAATCGGGGTGAGGAGGTGGGAGGGCTTGGAGAGATCAGAGCCCTGGGTTTGAGCCCCAAGTCTGGCCAGCCGCTGCCTTCTCCTCTCTGGGCCTCAGTGTCCTCATTGGTCAATGGAGTGGTTGATCTAGTCCATCTCCAAGGCTCTCTTAGCTCTGCACTTCTGATGTCTTATATGACCCAGCCTTGCAAATAACAGCAAGTCCTACACCCTGGCTCCGCAGAGCCTTAGGCCACAGGCCTGGGATGTTTCCAAGAGTGAAACCATGACCAGGATCACCATTCCGCCCCCAGCCCTGTTCAGGTCCCCCACCTGTGCCCAGGCACCTTCTTTCAGACCCCAGTTCTAGGGGAAAAGCACCCTGGAGGCCCCTGTCCTACCCAGGAGCCCACCTACCACAACGCTGAGACTTCACGAGTACCTTAGCTGCCTGTGCTGGTCACCAGCCAACAAAAGGTCAGCATCTCAGCCACCCGCTCTTTGCAGGACCAGGGCCCTGGACATAGCTTTTGCCCCTGAGTAAGCTTAGGGAGCCTATGGGTTGTCATCTCTGACTTTATCCCCCACAATCTGCATGTGACTGGGCCTCCCTCAGCCTGGAAGAGGGAAAAGGGGGGCGTTCTCTATCTGGGGTGGGGTCGTAGCCTCCAGGGCCCCCAAAAGCCTATAGAGGGACCTAGGGAAAGTCACGCTCATGCACTTAGAACTTTCTGCTTTGTACAGGGAAGAATCACACAATGAGCCAATGGGTATGTTTTATATATATATAAATATTGCTTTCTTCCTCTATGGTTTTAAAAATGCTTTTGGGTTCCAAGCAAGCAATAGATATGCTTTTGAGCCACAAGGAGTGAGCACTGAAATAAAGTTTATTTTTCACATTCAAACAATGTCTAGTCTGGTCCTCTTCATGTTTTCGAAGAGGGTGGATGGGTGAACTCATTCACATTGGGACAGGCCACCTCCTGCCTAAGAGCCTTTCCCCAGCCTCAGCCCCTCCTTTGGGTCTAATACCTGTGTAGAACCAGGTATTCAAGACTCTACACGGTTCGGCTCCATCTCCAGCCACTTCGTCGAACAAACTGTGTTTGGGCCACAATGAACTTCCCGTATCCCTCCAAATACCCTGGGCACTGGTGAACCTCTTAGCTTTTACATGTGTAGTTCCCTAAGCCTAGAATGCCCTTCCTCTTCCTTCTCATCTTATAAACTCCTACTCATCTTATAATGCTTCATAGCAAAGTCACCTCTTCTATGAAGCCTTCCTAGATTTCTTCTCAGGTCTCCATAAACTCTGGAACATGGACCAACTCAAACATTTATCAGTGAATTTTAGCTCCATGTTGGTATATCTGCTCCACTCATCTGCCTATCTGAAGTATTCAAGGGCAGGAACCAGCTCTCTCTTACATAGACACTAATAACTGCTGAATTGGTAAATCCATGTTTCAGAGATGGCTAGGCAATTGCTGGTGTTGCGGGGGTGGGGGGAGAATGGAGTTGAATAGCTGATACCATGGCTGATCCCTCTACTAAGGGCACCCTTACCATCATCTCCACCTATGGAACTCTTACTCAGCCTTCCAAACCCCGCTCCGAGGAGGCCTCCTCTGTGAAGCCTCCTTGGACTGTAGCCAACTACTTCAATCTCTGGTTCCCCTCACCATATTGTAGAAAGCCCTTTAAAATGCTCAACAGCCTGTATTAGGAACAGCTGTTTGTGTGTCTGCCACAAGTTCTGGAGCACCCTAAGGCCAGGGTCAGGGCACATCTCCCCAAAAGGGGGCCACCAGGTGGACTCAGGACTGCTACCTCTGCTTCCCGGGCCTAACTATCCTCTATAGGACAGAGGCAGGGCTGCCTCAGGTCTGCCAGGCCTGGACAGATTCAGAGGCTTCTCCTGACCTGCCCGTAAGCCTGCCTCACTAACCAGGAATCCAGAAAGGAAAAAGGCTCTGCTGGTCACATAGGCCTACTTTACAGACAGAGAACATGAGACTGAGATCCTGCTCTGCAAAGCAGATGGGAAGACTGAGTCTGGGTCCCTACAGTACAGCCCCCATGTGCACTGCACATGGCAGCTCAGGGCTGGTCGACCCCCCATCCAAGCTCAGTTCATAGCCACAGTATCAGGGGCCTGGGCTCTGTAGTCAAACAGACCCAGGATCAAAGCCTAACTCTGTCTTGGATTCGTAGTGTGGCTTCAGGCAGGTTCTCAACCTCTCTGTGCCTCCACTTCTTTATCGCTGAATGAGGATGATATGACGTCTACTTTCATGACCAGTGGACAGGTTCAATAAAATGGTACACATGAAATACTGAGCATTCCTGGCACATTATAATCATAACAGCCAACTGTACTCCAGATGAGGAAACATCACATGCACTGAGTTACTTACTCCTCCAAAACTCTATTACATTGTCCTTCCCTTCTCTCATTTTATAGAATTCATTGATTGCTGGGACTTGAACCCAGGCTACCTGCTACGCACCCCGCCCCACCCACACATACACACACACAGAGCACAGCTTAGCTTAGAGGAGGCCAAATTTCTACTTGAACCCTCCCTTCTCATATTGTTCCAGAATGCATGGGGCAGAGGCCTCCAGACCAGCCCTGATGGTAGGCCCTCATGGAGCAGGAGGTTCTGATCGGTCCTGTCTTCCTACCCCTAAATTTCCTCTTCTCTCCAGCTGCTCTTGTTTGCCTAGGGTGTCTGCCAACTCACCCCTCAGCCTCAAGCCAAGCCTGGAATAACAGAACGTTGATAGAATCTAAGAAGGAGGGGCTGAGAGTAGAGGGCCTGGCAAGGGCCTGCCGTTAGCATGTGCACCTTGGGGCCAGGCCTGGGTGAGCTTACTCTCTTGGCCTCCCCAATTCTCTCCCCAGGGCAGAGACACTGACACACATGCCCGGGGAACCTTGAAGCCCTATATTTTGTCTAACGAGCCAAAATACAAAGGGCTCATGTTTTCCTGGCCAAAGAGGGACCACACTGGAATGGTTTTGATGCTGAGTAAACAGGTACATTGGGCCTGTGAAAATGTGTCAGCCGTATACATATAATGGTTCTCTTTTTGTGTATATATTTTACTTTAATAAAATTGCAAAAAATTCAGTACTCGAAGGTTCTAAAATTAAATCCAAAGGGCGATGGAGGAAAAGGACTCGGCTCCAGAGTTCTTTCCATTTCTTCTTCCAGGAGCTGGGCCACCAGTAGGATATATCTCCAGAGATATTGTGAGGCTTAAACAAGATGTTACGTATGTAAGTACAAGAATGTCAGGGCAGGGATTTTGTGTGTCTCATTTGCTGTGAACAGCATGTGGCACATCGGTTAGCAATGAATATGTTGAATGAATGAGCATAAAGCTGTGTTTTCATGATCTCGGCTAGCCCTCAGAAAAGGCCGTAGAAATGATCATCCCATTTCCCAAATGGGGAAACTAAGGTTCAGAGATGTAAGACAGCTCACTCAATGGTACCTAGGAAGTTGATGATGGAGCAAGGGTTAGACTCCAGTTGACTCTCTGCCATGGCATCCTACAGGAGGGGCTGAAAAATGAGAGGACTTGATCCCCAGACCCTAGACAATGAAAATTGCAAGTCTTTCTCTGTCAGCTTCCCCGAGTCAAAGAAAGCCAGAGCTAGGAGGCTGGGCTCATACACATAGTTACCACATGACTCAGCAATCCCACTCCTAGGTAAATATATACCCAAGAAAACTGAGGACATATGGCCACACAAAAAGTTGTACATGGATGTTCATAGCAGCATTATTCAGAGTAGCCAGAAAGTGGAAACGACTCAAATGTCAATCAACTGCTGAATGTATAAATAAAAAGCAGTATATCCATAAAATATAATATTATTCGACAATAAAAAGGAATGAAGTACCAATACAGGACACAACACAGATGAACCTTGAAAACGTTATATTCCGTGAAAGAACCAGCCACGAAAGACCACATATTGTATAATTCCATTTACGTGAAATGTCAGAATAGGCAAATATATGAAGACGGAAAGTAGATTGATGATTGCCTGGGGCTGAGGGAATTGAGGGATTGGGATGGGGTGATGGCTAAAAGGTATGGGGTTTCTTCTGGGGACAATGAGCATTCAAGCAGATAGCCAGTGCAAAGTGACATGTGCCAAAGAGACTTGGGCTCAGGATAATGGGGCCATCACAACAATTCATAAGAACAAGGGTGCCAAGCATCCTCTCAAGGCATTACATGCGTTAACTTGGGTCCTCACAACACCCTGTGAGGCGGGAGCTAGCATTACCTCCTCCACTCTACAGGTAAGAAAACTGAGGCCCGGAAAGGATATGTGATGGGTCCAAGGTCACACAGTTAGAAAACAGTGGAGCCAGGACACCAACCAGGCGGGCTGGGTTCATAGCAGTTGCTCCTAACCTCCTGCTCTGTTGTCAACTGTCGCATGATGTGGACTTATAAAATGATAGGGTCTTCTCTGACACGGAGGTCAGAGAAGGCATCTCTGAGAAGCTAATGTGGAAGCTGAGATCATGAAAAGGAAGAGTGAGGCCCGGAAAGGGAGGGCCGGGGGCCAGGGGCAGTGAGGGCCAGGCAGAAGCCATTTCCCAGGCAGGTGATGACGCCTCAGTGCAAGGATCTTTGTTCACAGGAGGAGGGTCTCCAGCAGCTGTGAGTGCTCCAGGAAGGGAGGGAGCCAGGCTGCTTGCTAACAGGAAGCATATCCATGTAAGCACTTCTGGGAAATCTCAGAAATTCTCAGAAGAAAGGAATCCGAAACTTGAAAGTCTCCAGCCATTTGTTGCGACTTCTTTTCACATTCTTAATAAATATTCACGTTTATACCCAATTTTATATTCGTAATTTTATTTTTTATTCTTTTTCTTAAAGAGGGTCCTCCCAAATTAAAATTAAAACCAAAATGTTTTAACATAGCCCATTCACTGGAATGGCTAAAATGAAGAGAGGCCCCATCCACCCCCCAGCACAAAGTTTCAGTGAAGATACAGAACGAGATTTCTCATTGTGGCCGACAGAGGAGAAGAACTTGAATGACCACTTTGGAAAACTACTCACAGTATCTCCTAAAGCCGATGTTCATTTATGCATAAGAGGAAGTAATTCCTCTTGTGAATATTTACCCAACAGAAATGAGTCTGTTTGTCTTCCACACGCAAGAATGTTTATAGTAGTTTTTTCCCCCATAATATCCTAAAACTGAAAACAACCCGAAAGCCTAATACTAGTAGGATGGATATATTAATTGTGGTGTAGTCTGTCAAAGTCGTAGTATAAGAATGAGAAAGAATAAACTATGGCTATGTGTAACAATTACTTGAATCTCACAAACGTGTTAAGCCAGTGACACCAGACACAGGTACACACCGAATGGCTTTATCCATATGAAGTTCAATGCCAGGCAAAACTTGTCTATGATGTTAGAAGTCAGATCGTGGTTACCTTTAGGGGTTGGGTAGTAACAATCCAGGGGATTGTCTGATTCTTGAGCTGGGCGCTGGTTTACATGGGCGTGTTCAGTTTGGGGGAATTCATGAAGCTGTACACTTACAATGTGTGCCTTATCTACACGCATGATATATATGTTAATAAAAATTTCCTCAATAATATAAGCTTCAAGTTCCTCAAAGCCTTGACCTACTCTTGAGATCAGAGAAGGATTTGGATTTTATTCTTGTGCAGTGGTTCCCGCTGGAGGGATGTGAGCAGCAGGTGATATGATCTCCTGATGCTTTAGGAAGTTGCCCCAAAGAGGGAGCAATAGCACCAAGGTAAAAGGGGGGAAGCTTGGGAGGGGCTGTGGAGTGGCCCAGTGAGGGGGGAAAGGCAGAGAAGTCTTCCTTGGTGGGACCTCAAGGGAA